TTAGGGGATTTTCCCTGTTCACATGCAATTTAAAAATTTCAAATTTAGCTTCCCAGGCACGTGGAGTGCCCATGTACGGGCATGTGAATGTTTTGGCCGGAGAACTGCTAACTCGGTAACTAGAAAAGTTGAAAGGCCGAAATTTTGGGGAATTTGCCCTGTCCAGGTACAACTCACAGCCCCCACGAAAGGCGTATGAAAGTTTCTGCAGAAAAATTACTAACTCGGAACCGGAAAAGCTAGAAAGCTGAAATTTTGCGATTATGTCCCCCATCCACATAGACCTAGAAGATTTCAGATTCAGTCCCCAAGTGTGCGCGGTTCTCACGTAAGGCCTGTGAAGTTTCCTGGCGGGGAAATCGCCAACCTGGGAACCAGAAAAGCTGGGGGCTGAAATTTTGGGGTTATGCTCCCAGCCTCCCTATAAGTTAAGGATAACAAATTTAACTCCCAGATACGTGTGGTTCTGACGTACAGACCTGCGAAATTTCTTGGAAAGAAAATTGCTAACTCAAAGACCAGAAAAGTTGGAAATTTGAAATTTTGACGGAATGTTCACTGTTGAAACACCGCATGGACAATTAATTTCTGAACTTCGAGAAACAGCATGTCATACATTCTAGCTACTGGGTTTCCGAGCGATCTCCTTACAACACGAAATACCGCAAAAACGCATGATCGCACGGGTCTGCTGGGTGCGTATCGCCAATGATTTGAATATGTTCTTGGCTTGTGCGAACATGCGTTTTTGCAGCGTTGTAGTAAGATCATTTGGAGTCCCAGTAGCCGGAATTTGCGGCATACTGGTCCCCGAAGTTCAGGAAGTTAACAGTGCAGCTAATTATTATTTGGTTAGAGCACATCATCTCAAAATTTCAGCCTTCCAACCTTTCTGATTCTCAAGTCAGCGAACTTTCCGTCCTCAAATTTTCACGGGGTCGTACGTGAGAATCGCGTTCTACTGGGGTCACAACTTGAAATTAAGTTATACGTGGGCTGAGAGCATCCCCTCAAAATTTCAGCCTCCCAACTTCCCTAGTTCCCGAACTAGCGATTTCCCCCTCGAAAACTTTTACGGGGCTGTACGTGGGGACTGAATAAGAAACCTTTGAATTCTATTTGGACGGGGGACATATCCTCAAAATTTCGGCCTTCTAGCTTTTTTGGTTCCCGAGTTAGCGATTTTTCCGCCAAAACTTTTGCGTCCTCTTACACGAGGCACAAACAAGCATGAGGGTTGGTATCGCGGTACCAGGATGGCAGTTGGCCAGCGAACTAAAGGGCTAAATTTTGGCGCCGGAGCTTGCTTGGTTGCCGAGTTGAAATACCTCGACACGCACGCACACACACACACACACACGCACACACACACACACAGACACACACACACACACACTGCATTTGCATTTATGCAAAAACGTATGAAAAGTGGGAAACTGAATTTCCTTGTTACGAATGTGATTTTCAATTTTACTCATGCGGGTAATAAATAAAACTCGCATCGAGGTGTATATGAAGGCTGTATCTAAAATCACCGAAGTTACACACGGACAAAAAAGATCCTCTTGAAATTTCGACTTTTTGCCCTGTCTGATTACGGAGTTGGGAGATCTCTCGCC